GGTGGTGGGGGTATAATTATTATATACCTTAGTTATTCATCTTAGCCATATACTAACTATATGCTGCCAAAATCCTTGTCTGGGATTCTGTCTATGCTCTTACTACTGTGCATGCATTTGAAAACTCTTACTGGTAGCTAGCTGTCATTTATATCTTTTATTATTATTTTCCTGGGGAATTTAAGGGAGAGGGGTTATCAACTAGAACTTGGGTGAAGGTGTAGGTGTGTGTCCCACATGAGAACCTTGCAAAAAGGGATTGGGTGTCTGATTCCAAACAGTAGACTATGAACCACTGACTGAGTATTTTGTGTCTCATATGACTGTGGAATTAAGAAGATGCTAGAAGCACCAATAAGATCATACCTAGGATGCCTTTTAGAAGTAAACAACCCAAAGGCAGTGGTCATGCTACACAACTTTGTAATAAGGCCAGTTAGCTTGTGATTGCATGAACAGCACTGAGGGGTGTATTAGTGAGGGCTTTTAAACGGGCCTTTTTTGAAGTCTTATTTCCATATAATCACAAAGGGCAAAATAGCACTTCTAGTGCCTTGTTATTTGGGATTAAGCTGATGAAGAATCCAACAAGCATGCAGACCTTGTTGGATTCTTCATCAGCTTAATCCCAAATAACAAGGCACTAGAAGTGCTGTTTTGCCCTTTGTCATTATATGGAAATAAGACTTCAAAAAAGGCCCGTTTAAATACTCAGCCATCCATGAAATAGAGGCTGCTCGAGAGATAAAGGGGAAATATTATATATCCCTGTGAATTCCATCAGGAATCACATGCAATGAGATCATCAATCAATAACTGGGAGGAGCAAAAAAGGCTCCGGCTCTTTTCTGACAACTTACAACGGTAAAGAGTGACCAAATCAAACCAGAAAAATTGTTCATGTGTAAAACATTTAAATCAACATATGGCATTATATAGCTTAACTGTCTTAATAGAGGAGTATTTGGTAGACCTTGGTACATAAGTCAAATAAGTCCTGTGTCCAAATGGGACACAAGACAAGTGAAGCTGAACACTTTAAGGTCTAAAAGAATCTCTAATAACATAAACTCGAGAGTCTAAAACTACAGGTTAATAAATAGTGGCCAGAACGGAAAAAATATTGTCTTTCTCTCAGTATCTATATACGAACCTCCTTTTTATGTCTGGCATCAACTCGCGACGTGGTTTACGACTGATTTTCGATCTTCTGGGTCGTTTTCCTCTGTTAATAAATCTAGGCGCTCCATAAACAATTAGAAGTTCTTGTTGTCTGTTTCTTCTCCTGTTATCCAAGCTTGCGAGCAATGCTGTAATCATTGTCCGCAGTGGCGATTTTTTACAGATCGATACTGAATTGAGTGGTTCGAAGGCAGAGGCGAAAAGCTTCAAGTTGAGTTATTTAGCGCTAAACTTGTTCAACTTGACTTTGAAAAGATATAATATCATTCATCCGTCGGCTTATGAAAATTTAGTATTAAATACGAACATCGATTCTCGGAAGTGTTTCTGCGAAACATCCCTCAAAACATTGTAGCTTCCGCCAGGATCCCCTAAAGCTTGCGCTCAAACCCAGGCAAGAGCCAGTGAAAATGCAGAAATGTAATTTGGTACTCAACTTCCGTTAAGAAAGGCACAGCCATCGTCACTTGTTTCCATCCCATAAACTGACATTTTCCTCTCACTGGCTCTCACAAGACATTTCACTTTTCTTACATGAAATTTCTCTGTCTCTTGAAATTTCTGTTCATAAAAGTCTAAGTCTCTTCAATTTTCAAGGAAAAAAAATTCAGGCTGGCACGAGTAGTATTCGATCTCGGAGCATCGCCTCTGCAGTGCATCACTTTAAGCCCTACATCACCGAGGATTTGCTGACAATGAATGGTTTGATTTGATATAGCAACAACCCTAACTCTAACACTAACCCTTACTTTGGGTACGAATCATTAATCTGTCAACGTCAGTTTGGCGAATGGAAATAACTGTTGACCCGATGACTACAATAGGCTACCACTGCGAAGTAGAATGAGAATTGGACAGGTTGCATTCCTTTTATTAACTGGACAATAAATTGTACAAGCACTCAGGATAACATTTTTCTATGTAACAATACAAAGAGTCTATAGTCTCACCAGATATCCTCTAGAAATGTTTGTCTGAGTTACAATCAACGACTGGGCAGAAGAGCGCCCTTCAACTTCCGGTGTTCCTATGGTTGCGTGACACAAATACCTCGAAACTCTATGCCCAGGATCTACAGTTGCCTCTTCTTCAAACCCAATCACTTGAGTTTTCTAAACACCTTCCTGATGTTATTATATGTAACACAAATTAAACGAGACAAATCGTGCAAGTTGGACGTGAATTTCCGACTGCCGGGCATCTAGTAGTTTGAAAACCGTACACGTGAGTCAAGATTCTGAAGAATATGCTTACACTGTAATGCAAGCTCAGAGAATAATTTGTCCACAACAAGATGAAACCTTTCTTTATAATCGCTTGGCATTTCTTAACAAACACTAAATACTCTGGTGAGGTTTCGTCGATAATTTCTGTGGATATTCATTGGGAGTTGACTCAGTGTGTGTGAACTTGAATGTCGCGTTCCCACGGGTGGAGTTCGCTGTGATCAACCACACGCTCCGTACTCGATTAAAGTTTGTTTATTGCAGTATCAATGAAGCATATGGTGAGAACTGAAATACATAGACACGCGTTACGCAAGAAAATATAACTAAAATTAAAAGGAAATCGAGCGTAAAACAAACCAAAAATGAAAGACAAAAATGAAACAGAACTTACGTTATAGTTCCTCCAAGCGTATTAAAGAAAAGAACGACAAAATACGAAAAAAACTGAATGAAATAACTCCGTAAAAAACTCCTTGTACTCTCCGATTAGATCTGGTAAAAACTCCGACGCTAGACAACGGTGATAGTAATGATAGATGTCAAAACCGGTAAAAAATTGACGAATTAAACAAAAATACAAACGAGCGTAACGCAATATACGAATTCACAACACTCCTCGCCCAAGGATTGAAAATCTTTGCTTCCGTCAACACTATATCAGTCAAGTCCATTGAATCAAATTGTATTGTCCGCAAAATTAGGCTTCGTGTTGCAGTTTCAGTAGAAAGATGAAACTGGAAATTGGTCGTTCCTAGGTCTTAACGTTCCCGCTCTACATGAAGTCACTTTGGCCCTCCGCACTTTGCCGTTGGTGCTTCGCATTACTAGTACCTCGATATGAATGGCACAACTACTCAGACAGGTGAAGACGAGACCCCAGCGTTTTGCGTTTGCTGCACCACCTCTGAGTCTTCTCATCGAGATTTCCCAGGGGCCAAAGACATCGAAGCCGACATTTGTGAAGGGCGGGCTGGTCTCCGTTCGATCTGGTGGTAAGTTTGCCATGTGTTGTGTTAAGGTTGCTCCGCTCAACTTCTTGCAATTTACACAGGATTCAATAAGGCTGGATATCATTCGATGAGCTCCGACAACCCAGTAGCCGGCGTTGCGAACTGTCCCGCTCGTGATGAGGCGTCCTTGGTGATGGACGCTTTCGTGGAAGTGGCGGATGATCAACTCTGATACATGATGACCTTTTGGTAAAATGACTGGGTGTTTCTCTTGATATTCGAGCGTCGAGTTTTCGAGACGGCCTGCGACGCGGAGTAGTCCATAAGAATCTACCAAGGGATCAAGTTGCAACAGGTTTGAATGCTTTGGAACTGATTTCTCCATTTTAGCTGATGACAACACCTTAAGCTCTGCGGGGAAAACTTCTTTCTGTACTGCCTTGATTACAACCTGGCCAGCCTGTTCGAGTTCGGCTGCAGACGGAGGAGACCTGGGGATGACTGGCTTGTTTGAGAGCGCTTGATTTCTCTCCTTGAACTTTCTTAAGACTTGCGCGCCTCAGGAAGGACCAGCTGGAAAAGCGCTTGAATCTCTCGCAACCAAGACTCTGGGGTGAGTGTGTTGCAGTGGCACAGGTGATGACTTCTCTTTTCACCTCTGGGTCGCTTTCACTGAGGGTAACTCCAGGAGTGAAGCTTGAGGCTGGAGCTGTGGGTTCCGTAGAAATTCAGGTCCAAGTATCCATGGTGATTCTACCAGTTTCTCTGGGGTAACGCAGCGAGTTGCGAGGTCAGCAGGATTTCTCGCAGTGTCGATGTATCTCCACTGACTTGGTGCAGTTGCGTTACGGATATGTTGGACGCGGTTCGCGACGTAGACGTAGAATCTTCTAATTTCGTTCTCCGTGGGGCGTGAGGTCAACCCGTCGTCTACATAAAAGTTTCTGTGGACGAAGTCTCTTGTTTCTTTCCCGTATTTCTCCTCGCCGTCGTCTGCTGTTTTTCGTAGCCCAAAGGTGGCTATAGCAGGACTGGGCCCCTTCCCGAACAGGTGCACTGTCATCTTGTTCTCTATGATTCGCTTGGACGGATCGTTATCTTTAAACCAAAGGAATCGAAGAAAGTTCTGGTGCTTTGGGTGCACGTGAAACGAGTGGAACATTTGTTCAATGTCGCACATCACGGCGATGTTATCCTGACGAAAGCGGATTAACACTCCAACAAGGCTATTCATAAGGTCAGGACCTGAAAGAAGTTCTTTATTGAGGGAGACCCCTTGGAACTCGGCTGACGAATCGAACACCACGCGGATCTGATCTGGTTTCCTGGGATGGTACACCCCAAAGTGAGGTAAGTGCCATGTGCGTCCCTCTCCTCTGACTCCTCCCACCTGCTCTCGCTCCTATTTGGTGAGTTTCAATGGTTCTTTCCTATTGGGATGGTCGTTTGGTGTTAACAACTCGTACTGTGGCACTGGAACCGCATGACCGGGTTCGAAGACTTTGCCCATGAACTGGAAGTAATCTTCTTTCATCTTGGGTTTTCTATTGAGGGTGCGAAGCAGGCCATTAAGGCGGTTGACAGCCAAAGGTCGGTTGTTAGGCATCGAGGCGGTAGGTGAGCGAAACGGTAGCGGCATCTCCCAGTTTCCCTGTTGGTTCTTGCGAGTCCCTGTCTCCATAATTTTCAGGAAGCGTTTGTCTTCTTGCGACATGCTGACCAAATTGTTGCCGGGTGTCGATTGAAAGAGGTTGTCTCCGATTTCTCCTTTCTCTGCATATCTTTTTTTGACCTCGAAACGGTTTGGGCAGGGCACGATTTCACTTCCTTGAGCGTGATGATGTGAAGCTTGCACGTTCCGGGGGTAACTGGTAACAAGCCTGTCTAAACGCTCCAATGATGTGCGGTGTGCTGAGATGTGGACTGGACCACCGACTCGATCTAAACACATTTGGCCCGAGATAGTCCAGCTTAAGTCTAGTCTCTGGGCCCATGGCGCTCCTTTAGGTCCGTTTCTGCTAGCTCTTATGTTCAACAACTCCGGTGTGTCTCTTCCGATAAGGATCTCGACACTCGCCTTAGGGTTGTAAGGTGGAATTTCATCGGCAATCTCCTTGAGGTGAGAAAACTGTCTGGCCATCTCTGGCGTTGCAATTTCGTGCTTGCCCTTAGGGATGTTTGCGCACTCGACGAGTTGGGGTAGCCTCGCCATCATGCCGGTCAGAGAGCCTAGCACAAGACCGGAAATTCGCCGTCCAGACTTTTCTTCTCTTCCACCGCTGCAGGTCGTCAGGAAGTACTTCACAATCGGTCCAGTTGCGCCCGACCTATTCGCTAGGTCAGGAGTTATCATGGAAGCATTGCTCTGGTCGTCTATGATTGCATATGTGCGATGGCACTGCTGAGGGCGATTCTCACAGAGAACGTCAACGAGTACAATCTTGCTACAAGGGGTTGTGGCAAACTGAAGTGCAGGCCATTGTAAGCTCCTCGCCGTGTTCCGTACGTGTCGTGCCAGGCTTTTCTTTGAGAAGTGCCGTGGGGTGACGGTCGTTCCCGCATTTGGCGCATTTCACGATTGCATTGCATTCGCTCGATCTATGTCCTGGTGATAAACAGCGAAAACACAGTCCTGCTTTGAGAACACATTCGCTTCTGACTTCTTGCACTTGTTTTTCGAAGGCTTTGCATGCAGCTAAAAGGTGTCCTTTTCTTATTGGTGATAATGACGGTACTTCTCTTCTCCAAGCTCTGGCTCCTTCTTTGGCTCATTTTTGCCGTCCAAGCCTGTCTTGAGGACTCTCCTATTTGGGTCAGCATCTGTTTCGGGAAGTCGTGGTCTGTGTTCGCGGCCTTTCGGTTTACGATTACTAGGCTGAGCTGCTGCCAAAACGTTCGGGGGATTCTTTAATCGAGCTTGTTCTTGGACCATTGCGGCAAAGTCTTTGAAGCTAGGGTAGGCATCGTCGTATTTCTCTGCATACTGGACTACCCGCTTCTCCCATTTCGAGCGAAGAGAATGGGGTAAGTTCTTGACAATAGGGCCTATCGCGGTTAGGTAGTTCAGGCACCCGAGTCCTGGAAGAAAATCAAATTGGCTGTCCACGTCAGCACATACGTCGGTGACAGCCTGAAGCTTGTCGCTGTCTTCTCCAAATTTGGCCGCTGTTTTAAGTCGTACTAAGAGAACGTTGGTGATGGCAGCGGTATTCCCGAAGCGTCTCTCCAGCTCCTTCCACACGTCGCGCAAGGCAGGATTCCTATATTCCTATATTGTCTCTGACGGTAGTTATTAGTTACTTTTTGTGCATCTCCTTTGGTATAGCTTCTTAAGTAGTTGATCTCCTGATCCGGGGACACGTTTGCATCTTTTATCATGGCACGAAAAGCACTTTTCCATGGGTGGAAGAGTGTCACGTCTCCTGTGAATATCTCTGGGTGGCACTTAGGGAGGTTCTGTCGCGCTAAAGTTGCAACTAGCCTTTGATTTACTGTCGTGAGATCATCTGTGGGAGTCGACGCGAAGAGATTTGTTCCTTGGAGGCCAAAAAGGGGCGTGTTTCCTGTAACACTTTTCCCTGGCGGTGACTTTTCAAAGCTGGCAGCGTTTGTGCTGAGTAAAAGCTCTTCTTTTGCGCGTGAGCGAGCATTGGTTAGTTCACTTTGAAGCTTACTGTGTGATACCTTTCCCAAGTCGTGATAGGGGCTTGGGTACCCTGTGCGATCCAGTGTCTCCATACTCCCTTGTGCATTAATCCAGGCTCGCGTTATCTCTTGTGTGTCGATAGAGTTGTCCAAACCTGGGATAGTAACCATAGTGGCTTTCTCGTCTTCCTCCTCGATAGACTGCTCAATAGCTTTTAGTTTGGCCTCGGCGATTGCCAGCTTCTTATTTGCTTTTAATACAGCTTTGTCGCACTTGAATCTTGCCCTCTGAGACTGACGTTTTCTCTCTTCTTCGGCTTCCATTTCAATTCTCTCCCTTTCTTTCTCGGCCAGTAATCGGTCATATTCCGCTTCTTGTCTCGCTGCAGCGGCTTTGGCCAAGGCTTTCCTTCGCGTCACGCTAGACGAGGTAGACGCGCGAGACGAGAGAGTTGAACGCGTTCGCGAATGTTTCCGAGAACTTTGCGAAGCAGAATCCAGGTAGACGCGCGAGACGAGAGAGTTGAACGCGTTCGCGAATGTTTCCGAGAACTTTGCGAAGCAGAATCCTTTGTCGCTTAAAAGTGGCTCCATGGGATTTTCCGGATTGTTTCCTATTGTTAAACTCCCGCTCCTTTGTGCCATGTTAACATATATCGGCGAAAATATACGAATACTGATCTTGGAGGCGGTGCTCCATGTGCTGTTGCATAACCAAGTTGCTTGCTTGTTGCGATTCTTAGAACTCCAGTAGATAGGTGGAAATAAGCTTCTCACTAGAACTTCTCACTGTCGCGTTCCCGTGGGTGGAGTTCGCGGTGATCAACCACACGCTCCGTACTCGATTAAAGTTTGTTTATTGCAGTATCAATGAAGCATAAGGTGAGAACTGAAATACATAGACACGCGTTACGCAAGAAAATATAACTAAAATTAAAAGGAAATCGAGCGTAAAACAAACCTAAAATGAAAGACAAAAATGAAACAGAACTTACGTTATAGTTCCTCCAAGCGTATTAAAGAAAAGAACGACAAAATAGGAAAAAACTGAATGAAATAACTCCCTAGAAAACTCCTTGTACTCTCCGATTAGATCTGGTAAAAACTCTGTGGTAATAATGATAGATCTCAAAACTGGTAAAAAATTAACGAATTATAAAACAAAAATACAAACGAGCGTAACGCAATATACGAATTCACAACAATGAATATTTTCCAAGTGTCGAAAACATTGAGATTTCGGTCAGTATAAAACATGGACCGCGGACTGCAGACCACAGACTGCGGACTAGCTATAAAACACGGACTTGGTATAAAATGAAGACTCCGGACTGAGTATAAAACATGGACTAGGTATATAACGCGGACTACGGACTATGTATATAAAAACAGCTTTAGAAAGGTAAAACTGAGCGAAACGGAAAGCGGACTAGCATAAAACAGTAGTCCCAGCTGGTCACGCAGTCACGTCAGCGTCATGTGGAGAAGGAATGCATACCGCACGGACAAGGAAGGGTATGCCGCTACTCAAGGCTACTGAAATTAAATTCTGAATTTTATAAAAAGAAGGAGTTGGAAGAGAATCCAATTTATAGTTTTAAACCAATAAGAAGCACCGAATAAGAAAACGAGTATTGGTGTTAGTAAAATTCTTATGGATGCCACTATTCCGTTTCAAATAAAGCCTTGGGAATATGAGGAAATGAAGAACTCAGACGGGAAGGTCAATATAAGGGCATTCCGCGATGCAAAAAAGCAGTGTTTAGGTGGGACGGATTACTCACCAAAACGCGAATAATAACCGAAATGAATCATCCAACATGATTTACTCCCTGCTTCTGACCCATGGAGGGGGGTACTCCTGGGAATTCTTGGTGGGGGTGTGCCGCCCGGTTCTGCAAATCCTGACCCTATTTTAGACCAAAAAATGTCATTTTCCACACTCGTTTGCAGACCAGATCTCTAAAATCCATACCCATTTTCAGCCGGCTGGCCTTTTTTAGCCTGTTCCAGGATCTCAGATAGTGGGGGAGACTCCCCAGTTTCCTCCCGTTTTATTTTCGTGTTCGCGCTTTCTCAATTATGAACAGGCTAGGCCTGATTAGGCAGAAATTATGTCATAATTACCAGATTAGAGCGCAAACGAAAAAATTCTTAAATTGCATTTCGAATTCGCATATTCCTATTTCGTTTTAATTCATTTGGAGTTGAGACGATAAATGCGTTCGTACTGGTGTACGCTCCCGTAGTTTCCTCGAAACCCATATCCGATTCCAGTGTTTTCAGTCCAAAAAGACCCAAAAGCCTACACTTCGGGGCGGTGATACCCATATGGGTCATATAAGGGAGTACCCCCTTCCCGGGTGCTAACCCCTTTCATGATTGTTAGAGACCGAGACCAGGTCTAAAAATGCTCATGATTCAGAGGACCGGGCAGCACACCTCCACCAAGAATTTCTAGGAGTATTTATGACTTAAACCCACGTGTCTTGCTATTTAGCGATCTTTTGGCCTTATTTTTCCTTACCCAGAACAATTAGCACCGTTTTTACCAACGTATAGTCCGTAGTCCGTATTTTATACCCAGTCCGCAGTCTGCAGTCCACGTTTTATACCTAGTCCGTGTTTTATACCCAGTCCGTATTTTCCAGTCCGCGTTTTATACCTATTTAATAAGTCCGTATTTTATACCCAGACCGCAGTCCGCAGTCTATATTTTATGCTGACCGATTCAGATTTCACTCTATGTCCAAGCACGACAGTCGCTTCTACTTTTAAACCAAGGCAATATTTACAATCGCTTGAGATTTCTAAATGAATATCTTGTGTTCTAAGGGGAATTAATCGAGCTATTTCAAGAAAATTGGTCAAAATTTCTGACTGTCGGGTATCTAGTTTTTTGAAAACAGTTCCGGGCTAGACACTGCGTAAGATAATGTTGTAAACAACCACAACAAAGAACAGGTGTCCTGTTTGAATCTGCTCAAAATGTGCATGAGTTGCATCATATTTAAAAGGTCAACGGACTGGAGAATTCCTAAACAATGCCTTTTGAAGCGTAACAGTGTTTAACATAACAATAAATACCACTTCTTCGGCTGAAAATCTCCGCAAAGCTTATGTGAAGCCGAAAACCGCTTTGGGGAAAAACACTTGAAACGTAAATTGAGAGCTGTACCTGGTTGCAGGTGCCAAATAGCACAGAGTCATTATCAGAAAGAGAGAGATCTCACCTCGAATTGCACCCAACAAGACAAGGCAAAAACCAAGAAGCACATGGCAAGTAAAACAACCGTTACAACCGATGTCATAATATTTCGGCAAGGCGCGCAATACCGTCGATGTTGATCGCTCACCTTCGCGTCGACGATAACTCCCGACTGTGAAAGACATAAGTTTCGAGACACAGCAGACATTTTTTTCGTTCCCATTAGGGAGTCAATGTTGAACTCATTTGTGTCTCGTAAGACATTTTTGGTTCGTTCCCAAAAGGGAAAAAAGTGCGTCTCGAAGGACATTTTCTGTTCACCACGATCGTCGACGATAACAACAACAAGCATCGGTGTCGGCAGTGTCCGTCAACGTCCCGAGCATTTTCCGAAGGTTAGGACTAATTACAGTCACTCTTACTTACAATTTGTTTAATCGCGCTGCGCATATTGCAAACTTCGAAGGGATTTTGGGTTTTTCTATTCCGTCAATCATTTTAGAGAAGGCGGGTTAATGCAAATCACAATGTAGCAGCTTGGCTGAGCTGATAGGTGTGGTAACATGGGGCACTTTTACCTTGGGAAATTGCCCTTTTACCACGGGAAACTATAATTAGTAGTGTGACCGACGTTTCCCGAGGTAAATTTCCCGCGTTAACTATCTACGTTCTTAAGGGTTCGTCACGCGTTCCTGCTCCACGAACGTCTGCTGAACCGAAGGATAAAATCCTTTCCCATTGTTTGCAAGAATC